GAGAGTCATGGCCGCAGAAGATGTATGTGCAGTTTTACCCAGGAGCATTTTGCACTGCAAAGCCCTTAAACTATAGCCAGCAGGCATTAAAGGGTCAATAAGTGGCCATTTGAATTAACCCCCCCCACACACACACAGACACACACTATAAAAAGGAGGAGTCACAGAGTAGTCACAGTGTCTGTGAATTGGAGGCTGCTATAGGGAAAATTGACAAACTGCATAGGGACAGAGAAGGGTCAGTTAGAAAACTGTACTTAAATTCTGATTGCTAGCTCTTTGGGCAATCAACCTCTTTGCTGATTTTTTAAAAAAATATTATTATTGGGGGATTTTTTTCTTCTCGTTTTTTTTGTGGGTGCTTTGAGGTCAGTGGTCCACCCATCCTGCTGTCTTAGTGTTTGGTAGGAATAGGCTTTGACGCCACTTGTAATAATCATTGGTCTGCCTATTGTAGTGTCAATTTTTTTTAAACTCAAAGTTTGTCGTGCTTTGTTAGACAAATTTCTTTCTTGTCGCACTCTTTTAGATGAGCACAGTGAAAATGCTGCGGCCTCGGCTCAATGGCATCCTCTTCAAGCTGACCTTTGACGAACACATAAGCAACATAAGGCCGGATATTATCGGTGTGACGCTGGCCTGCGAGGAGCTGAAGAAGAGCGAAAACTTCAAGCGGATGTTAGAGCTGGTGCTGCTGGTGGGCAATTTCATGAACTCGGGCTCAAGAAATGCTCAGTCACTTGGCTTTAATATCAGCTTCCTCTGCAAGGTAAGAAAGGGATTCCTGCTTCCATTCTATGTAGTATTTTGCCTAGAGGCTGATTGTATTAAGATAGCTGAGTTATCCGTGTGGATATTAATGGTAGAGCATGTTCTTGATACCCATTAGATGTTTGAATAAGCAGCAAACATCTTCAACATCAAAGAACAAGTCCTAATTTTGTTACCAACCACTGGTAGAGAGTTGGTGGAGAATGCGGGCAGTAACTTGCCTACACATGGAGCAACAAGACATTCCAAGCAGAGAACAACAACATGTTCTATGGACATATTTATGCAAAGTCATTCTAGCAAGCAAACCTATTATTATGGAAAGGACCTAACATTAGCATGTAAGTATATCTGCAAAGAATAAGTCAAGGCAACTGGACTTGCGGTATTTTTCTTTTTCAAGAAAAATACTGCAAGTCCAGTTGCCTTGACTTATTCTTTACAGATATACAATGACCTGGATGAATGAGAACCTTCACAGACATTAGCATATAAGCCCTCATATTTTAATTTAATCATTAATCAAATTTAATCATTAATAAAACTCAATTATTTTTATCACCTGGATCAATATGAACCTTTACAGACATATACTTTCTAGATGTCTTGTGCGCCTACAACTATAGCCTTATAATCCATATAGCACATACATGTAAATGTAGTTAGGTTGCAGGTAATCTGATCAGCAAGTGCAATGATTTAGAAAACCTTGTTTCTGTAAATCATTTTAATTACATTTGTATATGGGGGCAGCTGTTCATTATATGTTCAAGCTCTGCCTCCTGCCCTGTAATAGTTCAGCCGTCCTGTTTTGGTGATCTAAGGTTCATTGTAGCCTGATTTTCCTGTTCTTAGCTGAAAGGAGAGGAGCCTCTTATGGCCTTCAGCCCCTGTGGACTGTATTTTTCATAATTTGCTGTGTTATGATCGGACATGGTCTTCAGTACAAGGTGTTTTGTAGAAATACTGTAGAAGTTCTTAATTTTTTTCTTATTTTATTCTAAATTATCATTATCCCATTTTTATTTAATTCAATTTACATACATTAGCTACTCTAATGCACCTTTTTCTATAATAGTTGATCAAAAAAGACGTGTGTGTTACTATTGTGTGTTCTAATAATAATAATAATAATTAAAAAAATGTAAAAGTCCCCCAACCCCATGAGCACTCACGTCGCCACGTAAACACGCGTCGGGTGCGCCTACGTATGAAAATTTTATTATTATAATTTTTTTATTGTTATTAATATATTTGTATGTATCAGTATTTTTTCCCTTTTAGTCCAGTCTACTGTTGATGTATGAGCCCCTTCTACTGATAGTTGGCATTTAGCATGTAATACTTGGTTTGTGGTGGTGCCATATTCTTTTTAATAATGTATTTATTGGTGCTCTGTGGGATGGATGTTCGAAGTTTCGGATATTTTTTTTTATAACCCAACCCTGATCTGTACTTCTCCACAACTTTGTCCCTGAGCGGTTTGGAGAGCTCCTTGGTCTTCATGGTGCCGCTTATTTGGTGGTGCCCCTTGCTCAGTGGTGTTGCAGACTCTGCACACGGGTGTTCTTTATTTTACTACTTTTGTGACTTCTGAAGGTACTTGGTTGCATCAGATCTTAAGTAGGGGCTTCATAAGAAAGGGGGTGAATACATATGCACGCACCACTTTTCTGATTTTTATTTCCTAAAGTTTTTTTTTTATTCATTTGATTTCGCTTCACCATTTTGGACTATTTTGTCTATGTCCATTACATGGAATCCAAATAAAAATCTATTTTAATTCCAGATGGTAGTGCAACAAAATAGGAAAAATGCCAAGGGGGGTGTGAATACTTTTGCAAGACACTGTAGGTGGCTGATGAGTGTAGCTTATTAGTGTGTCAGCTCCTGGGCTCGGACAGGCTCTTACAAATTCTTCTCCCTCCAATGCGCATTGGCTAAGCGCCTGTATCCTAAATCGCCGTAGCCGTGCGTGTCGCACTTGTCATCATGCCACCTTCTTGATCTCTGATGGAGCCCATTGATGATTTTCCCTTTGCAAGCAAATGTTTTTTGACATTTCTGTTATTAAAAGACCCGATAGTCTGAGACAAAATAAAAAGGAAAAAAAAAAAGTGTGTCAACACAGAAAATTAAGAAGGAAAAAAAAAAAAAAAGAGACTTCCTCAGAAGTGTAATTATGAATGACACTGCAAAATTAAAGCCATAACAGGAATTGAAAAGCAAAAGCATCGGCGTAATTAAGGCAGCAGACTTTGGTTATTTATGTGAGGGAGGCAGTCAGATACAGTTAATCTTAGCCGCTTTGCAAGGAATTTTATTTATTTTTTTACTTTCGGATTAAAAAAGGGATTCAGGATTAAGGTAGCCGCGAGATTGCTTTCCCACTAAGGCCTTGTACGTGCTCACGTCTTCCGACAAATCAAGCGCAGATTAACCTGGTTTAGCCGTGTACGGAACATTAACTGCGACGCGGTGAGTGGTCTGCTCGCAGCGCAGGCGAAAATGAGTCGCGGGTCTCTCGCTACTGATAGTCCTGCTAAGCATCGCCTCGGATCCAGGTAGACCAGGCTGTGGTCTTCAGCTATTGAAGGGGCTTTAAAACGCTCTGGGAAAGACATCACTGGGTCGTAGGAGGTGAAAGGTGGCGCCAGTAGGATTCCTGATTGGATTGTGCTCTGGTTTTCATGGAAAGCTGCTGCAGATATGATTCTTAGCAGTCAAGATGGTGCTGGAGACATGGCTGAACCCTTCTTTAAATGGAAAACAGAAGAAATGGCATCATGACCATGCAGTCAGGGCCGGATTTACTCACTCTGCTGCCCAAAGGCCAGGTTCCTAAAAGCCACCCCCCCCCTACTCGCCAACCCCCCCGCCCCCTTCAAGGGAGAATGGCAGACCTGCAGGCTGCATACAAGTGATATCGGCGACATTGCCAACATCACTTGTACAAAACAAGCAGCTGTACATTTAGCTCAGCTTGCCCAAAGCAGGACTAAATGTAGAAAACAACTACCCACCTGGGGCGTCGGGAGATAGGATCTCCACACACCTGCTGCCCCTCTACTACCTGCTGCCCCAAGGCTGGGCCTTGGTTGGCCTTGTGGGAAAATCCGGCACTGCATGCAGTTCCAAGAAAGAACATTACATTCTCCAAGCATTAAACATAGTGCACACTACCACCTAATGGCAGAGCTTCACCAGACCCCACTTGTGACGCCAATGACTATAGGGACTTTATGATGGGCTTTACCAAAAAGCTGTAATTTTGTGGCATACCAATACAAATAAAAGAAATAAACATGATAATGCCTCAACAATTTTCTGCACAAAGTGGAGCATTAGCTGACAGAGATGCAGGGGTGCCAATATTTTTGGCCATGACTGTATATGAGAATGGTTGCTGCACCTATTTTTCTATAAACTGCATGCTAGCGGGCAGGGCTCTCTTTAATATTGATTGGACCCTGGGCAAAAATGTTGCTCTCCACCCCAACATCTCAAAAACACACAATGCAACAGCCTAGCCCAGCTCACCTGCCTCTGCCCTGGTGGTGCAGCTGTAGGTCAGCCTGGATGTCACGTCTCTCTCTTCTGATTGATGTGTGTGATGTGACATAAGCTGCTTTTGCACTACGTCTTACTCCTGCAGAGCAGATAGGAGAAGACGTCATAGGGAGACGTGACCCCGTGTGTGATGTCATGCGGTCAAGGGGCAGCTACTATCGGCCCCACTCCATTGACTGGGCCCGGGGCAGCTGCCCCTTTTGGCCTGTGTTAAAGACGGCCCTACTGACAGGTCTAATGGGGTGGGGCTGTATGCAAACAGTGACTTTCCGTAAGGTTGGTGCTCCGTTATTATAACCCTCCAACCGGGTTGCATATCATAATGCAGTGCCAACACCTCTGCGACCTGTTGGCTGCAGTATATTGGCTGCAGTATATTGTGGGATGTTGAAAAAGAACATATAGGAGCTGCACGTGGAACAAATTTGTGTTTGCCATATCTCTAAATCAGGAAAGAAAGTAACGAATACCTAAAGTATAACCTAGTGGTGATAAATTCTTAGGTGTGGTATCATTACTGAATTTTATTATTATTATTATATTTATGTTCTTCTCGCTGCACCTTACATTGTAAGAGTTAACCCATTTAATTATTTCTAAAGCCGCCCCCTCTCCTGAAGTTTCTAGATGTTATCTGCTTGTCAAACACGAAATCCAGCGCTAGCCCCCCAACTACCTGACATGTGTTACTGGCGGTAAACTCGGAGGAACGCTCTGCAGCATCTGCCAGACTTCAGATGAAATCACAGCAATCTGTGGGGAGCCTCCACCGTCTTGTGATAGTTGTTTTAGAAGGAAGAGATTAGGGGTATTTTTTTTTTCTTGTTTTAAATCAAATGCCGTGTTGAGTGTACAGACACATAGTAATCTTGTGGGAAATATATTTCCTGACAGCGAAGTATCCGCCATTAGAGCATAATAGTAAACATTTGCATGGACCATCAGGAGCCGGAAAAAAAAAACCTCATCTAAAGCCATGTACGGCGCACTTCCATTACTGCGGCGACTCCTCACAATCTTAGATTTGGTTCTTTGACAATACTTTTTTCATGTCAGGCTGCTTGATAACAGGTTTCAGGGAAAATGGAGATGTTTGGGAGGCCTATCTCTGCCAATGTTTTGAGACCTTAATTTTCAGCAGAGCTCTCCGGAATACACAAAGCTGCTCAACTCTGCTTCACAGGAGCTAAGACTGTAATGTCAGTAAAATGGAGGCCGTGGTCTGTTCCTCTCTCCTTCTCTTCTACTTCCACCTGTGTCTTTTACACTTCCCAACTCTTACCCTCACCCATTCCTCTATGTCTCAACTTTTCACCAATCCCTCTGTGTCCTAGCTGTCACTTTCACCTATCCATCTGTGTCTCAACTCTCACCCTCACCCATCACTCTGTCCCAACTCTCACCAATCCCTCTGTGTCCCAGTTCTCA